ACTGGGTGTCAGGGAGTTTTCAGACCCATAAAGAGGGATGTAACTTCAAGCTTTTAATAAACACTGATATATACTATTCTAATGTAAAAATATTACAATTTAGTTACTTCCCTAAGATGGAAATTTAGATTTCTCCAAATTTTTATTAGAAACATCACCACAATGCATATTCTTATATATACTGCGCTGGGCACATGTTGAGTGTCTTCCAGTATTTCTGGGATTATGGAAAATGCACTATTTATTTGAATACGTATTTATAACTGTCCTTTGGTACCCACTGACACTCCCACCAACAGTGTAGGAGAGTTCCCATTTTCCCCCACCTTGGTCAATATGTCATATTCTAAAAATTTACATTTTTTACCAATTTCCCTGATTACTTGGGAGACTGAGCATCTTTTTAAAAGTAAATTGGCTATTAATCTTTTATCTGCTTCCCTATTTTGCAGTTTTTTTATTATGAAAAAATAGTGTTTTGACATTCTAGATTATTCTAGATTTTAACCCTCCTCTATTATGCGTTGACAAATATCTTCTCTCAGTCTGTTTTCTTTTACCACTGTTATAGTATCAGGTCATAAAGAAATTTTACATTTTATAATCCATTAGTTTCTCTCATATTTTTTTCTGGGTCTGAGATTATACACATTTAAGTAAATAAAAAAATGTCTATTTACGGATCCAATTATATACCAACTTGTTTACCACTTCATAATGTATCTTGGTACCTGATTGGTTACCTTTTATCTTCATTGTTTTTGCTCATAATTCCTTCATACTAATTTGAGAGGGGCTATTTTTCATTTATTATTCCAACATTCTAATATTAGGCATAATTTTTACCAGCTAAATTACATTTATTTGTTTGGTAAGACACCCTTAGTACTAAGATGTAATTAAAATATTCTTCCAGTAATCAGCAATGACTAGTACAATACTAGTTTTATTATATTATTTGCCATACATAAACTTACCATTTGTTTTATCTCTTTAATCACATATAAAATGTTAGAAATGCCTGTGCAATGGTGATTTAATCTGTATAGTAATTTCCTTTGTATGCAGAAACCTGACAGTTGTATATTACTTGAAAGCATCAGTTTTTACCATTCTTAATTTTTGAATTCCCTTATCCTCGTTCTCCCCTTCCTATTGGCAACACTTCTGCCTGCTTCTTGTATGGGTTCCGGACTTGGTCAGACTTCTTTCTAACAGAACCACTACTCCACCTACCCCCTCCCACTTTTTTTTCCTCCAAAGAGAAACTTTACCTGGAAAACTCTGTAAGGTAGACTCTTTGTCTCTTTATACTTAGCAATGCATTATCCTCAACATTGGAAACATGAGGTTATGGTATATAGTTGATGCTTACTAAATGTTGAAATAATGAATTTTTTTTTTTAAGAATATAGGGTTTTTAAAATTTTTTTTAATTTTAATTTTTATTTTTTTCAATATATGAAATTTATTGTCAAATTGGTTTCCATACAACACCCAG